CCAGCTATTGCAATTAGTTCGTTTTGGATCTTTGGCGAAAAGTATTTTTTGTGATTTTCGGAGTCTATGTGCTGCTTAAGTATAGGGTCGTAATGACTTATTAACTCTAATGTTTGCAAAAATTTACCAGAATTTGGATGCCCAATTTTTTCTACAGATCCACGCAAAGCTTCGTTGTTTTTGACACAGAATAAAATTGCATCTAAGATACATTTTAGAATATGTTTCCATCTTTCAGTTTCAGACAAAATCATTTTTTGAATTTCATCTGTTAAAAAATGTCTTTTCTTTAAATTAATTTCAAATGTTATTAAATCAATAACACATTTTTTATGGGCCGTAGAATTTTCGTGACTTTTTACCCTTGGACCAATATTATGCCAATCTCTAAATCCAGTTTTCTTTGTAGAAAACTGGCTACTTGCCCCTCCAAATAACAGGCATGGAAAACAATAAATTACATCCCTTTCTATGCAATAAAACAACCATTTACGTTGAATACTATTACCATTTGGCAGAATTTTGGAAAAGTATTTTTTTGAAAATTGCCTAGTATTTGTTACAGGATTAGGATAACAATCTAGGTTATCTCCATATACAGGCCCATTTTTTATCAACTGTTCTAAAAACACTTTATCTCCCTTCCAATTTACCGGATTGTTGTAATTTATTATTTCTAATTCTAATTCACTACTACTATTAATACTACTTATTCCACCTTCCTTTTCCATTGATTTCAAGTCGGAGGTTACCTGAGTGTCCGTGTCTTCTTTGCTATTGTGTGTCGATGTCGATTCAGTTTCCATTCCATTATTTTCTCCCGCCTCAATTTCTTGAATTTGTTCACTTAAAGTTGCGCTGGTATTATTTTCACATTCGTTATCTCGTTCACTGCCGATGATAGTACTTGATGAAAGAGAACGATCTTGATCTCCACTTCTACACATCTCCTCTTCAACACCTTTTTGTCTTGATCCCAATTTAATAAATGTTTGCATAAGTGAAGCACTTTTCTGATTGACATTTAACTTTTTCGCTCTAATCTTTTTAAATTCTGCCCCCGAAAGCTTTTTTTTGGGTAACATCTGTAATAATAGGTATAAAAAATAAAATGGAAATCAGAATAAAAAAGATACCATACCCTTCTCTATGCCTGCTGGCTGCTGGCCTTGTTGCTCTCTATTTATTAAAACAAGAATCACACTAAATTAAGGTCAGTGAGCTCTTTCGCGTCAATAGACTGCTGAATAGTGAAAATTGAAGAATCAGGATGCACCGTGACTGCGACGTTTACTCGCACAGTCGCACATTATATGAATAAACGTCACCAGCACCAGCGTGTCTGTCGCGTAGATCGGTGCTGCAAGTTTTGCTAAACTTGAGCTTGAATTTCAATACAAACACGTGCAAGTATGCGCTTGGCTGGCGAGTGGCGATGATCTTTTAGGATTGCAGGAAGGGCATTTATTTATGATTTTTGCGCCCCTAGCGGCTTGCGCCTATAGGCATGGGCCTACTCTGCCTATAGGTAGGTACGGCCCCCTGGAGGAAGGGCTTTATTACACAGTAAAAAAGATTCAAGGACTTTTTCTTTAAAGGCTTCAGTGAAGCATACAAATATAATTTCCATTAAATCTCAGAGAATTTAAGGACTTTACATAGACTAACAACAGACTTCATAACGACTACAAAGAGAATTTCGCAACAGACTTCGTGACTTTACTGAAACTTCACAAACACTATACGAGATTTCACATGGATTTCGTGACTGCACAGAAACTTCGGTGAACTTTACATAAACTTCAGCAAACTTCACAAAGACTACACCACGTCCGTACACCAGACTACAAGGGTGAATTGCCCCTCGGTGGATAGTTACGAGTATTTGCTTTGAATTTTGCAAGTATAAGCATATGCTCCATTTTATTCATATGGGCCATTGTTATTATTATGAAGACTGTGAAAATTGGGAAATTTAGACGAAATAAATTACATTGCAGAAATAAATATTAGGTTGGGAAAAATAGGTTGGGAAAAAAGAGAACTTACCAAGAAAAAAACCAGCCGGCAAATTAATATTAAATTGTGTAGCAAAATTAATTGTATGTAATGCATAACATATAATAACAACAACAATATTAACAAAATATGTAGCATGTACATAGCCTTCGAGAGGTGACATATAAATTAAAAATTTACAGATTCCGCAATCCATGCAACCATCGGAAACATTGGAAATGATAACAGCACTTTTTATTTTTTAATCGGAATGGGAGGGGGGGGGGGGCGTGAGTAATTTTAGTTTTATGAAAGGGGGCGCCAAGGAAATAAGTTTGAGAACCACTGGTTTACATTATGAGAGTGAAGTGCTCTCTGATAAGTACAAACTTGTGAGAGTTTTACTATCCCGTGTAAATTACGTTTTACACATACGTACGTTTGTATGGGAATTGGCAGAAAATACAAATTCGATATGTAGAGCTGTCAAAACTAATAAATTTTAGATCTGTCATTGGTATGACAACTTTGATTTTTATAAACACTATGCGTCGTTTCCCGTGATGTTGCAATTCGGTCGTAAACTGGTATCTTAATAAAAATCTGCATCGAAAATCGAAATGACTATCATTTAAGTACTGTGGCAAATGTTTAATATATCCCGAATTACGAGCAAAGTCACATATTATGTAAAATGTTGATTTTGGTTGTGGTCATAATATTAAACTATTGTATAGCTAATTTTCACGTTTTGGCTACTTTTTACCGCTGAAAGCCCATTTGCTATAATATCTGTTTGAAAACGGCAAAGTGCATTTCCGCAATGGACCATGAACATGAACGTTGTAGCACTTGTAATAGACTAACCAGTGCGATGCAACAAAATTATTTCTAGAAAAACATTTGCCAATGCATGCAGAATTTCGTCAACCGTCAAGATATTGAAGTCAAAAGGTGAAATAAAAATTTATACAGTAACTGTTTGGTAATTTAGTGTTACCATTTCAAAATTTTGCGGCTTTTTTTGATACAAGGTAACCTTGTACGGTTAAATTCTGAATAACGTTTGCCACAGATATTACCCAAAATTTCCCATCATACTTATTGGACGAGTATATAAAACCAACGGAAATTAAAAGAACTTGTTCTATTATTTCCTATTTTTATATTTTTAAAAAATAGTTTGAACGATAGAACTGCGATTATTGCAAAAGCAAAGGTTACGCACTACAAGTGTTTACAATACAAATGTTTAATGGAGAAAGTCCACTTATTTGCAAAGCCAATTAGCACAGTTTTACTGCTTTACAATAAACTAATAACAGCTAGGTAGTTGTATGTAAGTATGCACTGTAATAATATTTCATTGCTGCTGATTATTATGCTTACAATTTTTCCCCACTGATCTCGCATGTGTTTCATGATTAATAATTGTAAAATGCAAGGCTTTGCAATAATTAAGGGCATCGGTAGGTCAACTGGATATCAGATTATGAGTTATTCTTTGTGATTGCATTTACAAGTTAATTAATTAACACCGTGAAGTAGTTGTATGTGATGAACGCAACAATGTATTTAATTGATAGATTTGTCCGTGCAAGGTGATACAAATTAGTTGATGGCATGACAGGAATTGACCGCTACGAATAAAATATACATAGGTACACTTATTAGTAGACCTCAAAATGTTTGTGAATTTACAAAAATTTGCCATTTTTAACGGGTAAATTTGCGATGCTGATCACGATTTTAAGGTACTTATCCATATAAAAAAACGATATACGAGTATTCAATTCAATAGTAAATGTGGCCTCACCGAGGAGTGTGAAGGGTTCCAGAAATTTATACACCGCTACCTAAAGGTACTTACAGAAATAATTTGATGTTATTTTTGGTTTAGCCTCGGGTTTAGCCCTCGGTTTAGCCAAATTAAGGGAGATAAAGCTGAAAAATCCACGCACAAATGACAGTGCACTTTTCATTTATAGTATGTGTATTAGCCTCATTCAGCGTATTTTGTTCGGTTAAACATGGGAAATATTTAACATGGTTTTCCTAAATATTGAGGCCAAGAATCTTTGGCAGTTTCCTCAAACCAAAAACTGGCAAGCACAGCAAGAGCACAAAATTTAGTTCTCGTATACATCAATGAAATGTGTTGTCGTTTTCTTCACGAAATTGGTATATAAATGAACTCAATCAAAGGAGAACATTAGGGAAGAGAATTATAGGAATTGTGAACAAATTACGAGGTTGGTAAAATCATCCCGATGTAGTCTGTTACATGCTTGAGCACACGCAACCAAATTGCCTTTAACCAGCTCTCACACTGAGGCGAGAAGCAATGAGCAACTGGCAATTGTGCAAATGTACTCTGAAGGGTGAATTGCATTTTTCGAATCTACAATTTATGGTTTTTAAATTATTTTGACTTTTAATTTTAAAAAAATGGCGGATGCAGCCGGTAACTTGAAAACGGTTGTAGTTATAGCAACCTATTTTACCAGTGCATAGAGAAAGAATAAGGCTTTCTTTTAGTGTACTTAATAGTAATTATACACCAAGGTAGAAAAGTTGATTTTCTTAGCCGAGCGGTATTATTTAAATTAAATAAGAAGAAGCGTCTCGGGAAATAAGAAGCGAGGCGATGAAAAGTCTTCTCTACCGTGGTTTATATATTATTTTATTCACTACTAGCAGATGAACTATTTTAACATATATTTAAATGTCATTAAAAAACACGATTTTGGCGATTTTAAGTACCTATAATAGGTAGGTACTTTTACAAGAAGGCTGTGACTTTGACATTACATTATTAGTAAATCGCATTTTGCGTGTTTCGCTAATTTCTGTTAAATAAATATGAATAGTGAATTTTCGTGCACTCCTCCAGACATACGAGAGGCAGCAAAAAGCGTGGCCGCTAACGACCTCTTGCCTGAAAAATCAAAACATTATTACAATAAAATTTATTTAAATTTTAAAGAGTGATGTCAAACAAAATGTGTTTCACAAGTTAGTGAAAATGTTATGTTGGTGTATTTCCAAGAATATCGCGTACAATAATTGTGTGATTAATTATAATTTTCAAAAGTAAGTTCTTTAAGTTCTGTTTGTTCAGTTCAATAAAATCCTTGTTTACTTCGTTAACATAACGTACAACGATAGAGTTATTTATTTATTGCCCCTAATTATAGGCAACCCAAATGTCAAATTCATTATCTCCTACTATAGTCTGTCTAAAATTGACGCGAAGTAATAAATTTACTTGTTAGACAGAGACAGAGAAGCACTTCCATACATTTATTATTTATTACTTCGCGTCAATTTTAGACAGACTATAGGAGAGAAATAATCCACAAGGTAGAGAAAAATAAAATCTAGCATCGAATACCAGCCTACTAATTATACGTTGTAATGCTAGTAGTGAATAACAAAAATTAAGTTGCGTTCGACCGATGGTATAGAGTTCCAAATTTAAGAAATTTCAAAAACTAAAAACTCAGTTTTTTTTAATGAAATGACTATTTTCCTATTGCATTTGATAGAGAGTCAAAATTGGCATATTTTGACATTACATGTTCCTACAGCTGTGTTTAACAGTTTCCGACTTATTTCCATTTCATTGAATTGATACGACCTAAACACCTTTGGAGTTCACATACCCTTCGCACTGACAGTAATGTCATTGTTTATAAATACCAATGAATAAAGAATAATAAATACAATGGCAATATGTTTAGTCACTTTTGAGTACATCAAGCGATTTAGTTCATTTTTGGCTGCCAGCATTGTTTGAGATATCCCCTAAATCAGACTTTTCCTTAACAAATGTGCTAAAAAATCAAACAACTGTGATTTCGATATACTTTGCATTTTATAGTTTTGTGGAGCAATGAAATTAAGATGCAGAAGTGAAAGTTATGTATATTATGATCTATAAAATAATTTTTATGTAGGTATATATACATATCTTTGCACTTTATGCATTCATTTTAAGCAGACATATAAAAACTATAGTCATAATTCTCCGTCTTTCGAATCAAAAGGATTTTCTAATCCAAACACAGTTTTTCCATTTATGATAGATATATAACATTAATTCAGTATATGTGTCTTTATTAACGAGCTCCTAGCGAGTTTATAATTTTGTTGTGTCTGTCCGTCCGTCCGTTAGCACGATAACTCATAAACGAATGGACCGATTACGATGAAATTTTGCAGGTGGATTCTTTATCAAATTTGTAGATCGGAGTTCGTAAATTGGCAATGTAGCCCATAAAGTAAAGTAGGCCCTTTTGACATCTCCGAATTGCATGAAATTCAATATGCGCATAGCTTTAGCCATATAAAACACAATTCCAAAAGTTGAACCTAATCGATCAGCATTCACAGTGCCTTTTGCGCATCTCGACCATTTACAGACCGAATTGCAAATTTTTTTATTTATGAAGGTATTTAAATGAAATTTGATACATAGCCACTTGGAATAAAAGTAAATTTAACGCCAGTTTCAAAATTTGGTTTTGCGCATGCGCAGTGCCAACTTCCTTATTTATAGGGGATTTAAAAGAAATTTGGTACATAACCACTTGGAATAAAAGAAAATTTAACGCCAGTTTCAAAATTTGGTTTTGCGCATGCGCAGCTTATTTATGGAGGCATTCAAATGAAATTTCATACATATACACTTTAAATAAAAGCAAACTAACATCAGGTTTAAAATTTGGTTTTGCACATGCTATAGCCATACCCAGGAGCTCGTTTGCTATATTTGTTTAATTTATTTATTGTACCTTTTGGTACACCACCTACTGAGGCAGTGACATTATACTACTGCGTTAAACTTCTTTTCTTCAGCAACAGCTTTTTGCACTTTCATGTTTTATTATTATACAGGAATTTTAACAATACTATAGTTCGGTGCCTTAAATCGGGGCATGCAGAATTAAATTCCTTGCCTACATTTTTCCAGGTCTTATTTTTCTTATCTGCATTGACTCCATCCTTTTTCTTATTTTCTATGCTTATACTTTATGTATTACGCTTAAATCTGTTAAATAAATATGTAGATATGGTATTGCTATTGTATTCATTGTTTTCACCGTTACTGCAATACAGAATCTACTTCAAAGCTTTACCTGTAACGGTAAGTTAAAAGTGGGCCAAACGTGATGTTAAATAAGTCACCAAATGGAAACAGAATAACTATATTTGATTGCGTTGCCAAAACTAAAATTCATCTTTACTAAGAAATTTTTGAATTGCAATAGTGCAACGTAATAAGACTGTTTTCTTTTACAGTACGGCCGTGTCAATATCGAAGCAACACTTAAACATAGAGGAATTTTGGATGACAGCGACGAAGACGAGGGTTACAGTGAAGAACCAAACAGTCCAGACAATCCGACTCCGCCAGTACAGGTCAATCACATTTCTAGTGACGGTGATAAGCCGAAAAACGGATTTCTACCTCAACAAAATGGAAACTCCGTAATAAGTAGAGATGATAAACTTATTCTCGTACCCGAACCTCCCACTAAGTCAGATGGTAGGGCGGACGATTCAAAATTATCCGATGAAGAGAATAGCAAAAATGTCGATATCGACAATTGTGTAAGTGTTGCTCTGTTTTCAATTTCGTAGCTTCACACAAGTGTTTATATTTGAAGGAGAAATATGGCGACTTTGAATTGTCTAACTGTTTCGATTACCTAAAAGTTGGAGTTGAGGCCATCATTGAGGATCAAGTTACATCTCGTTTTCAAGCGGAAGAATTAAAAAATTGGAATTTACTTACTCGCACGAACACACACTACGAGTTTATCTCGTGGAAATTAACTATTATATGGATGTGTGGTTTTTTCATTAGGTATTTCTTTCTATTTCCATTAAGGGTGTTTATCTGTTTCTTTGGGGTAAGTAATTTCGTTAAGTTCTTGTTTTAGAACCATAATAGTAATAAATATTTAGTAAACGTGAATATATTTTAACAAAGCTTATTATATGCATGGTAAGCACCTACACAGCATTTTGTATCAATTTGTTTCAATTTAAGGAAGTGTAATAAGAACATCTCCGATAATTTATTATACTGTGCAAAGTCCTTGCGCAGTATTTATTTGCAAAAATAACCTTCATTCGCCTATATCAATGAAAGTTTTATTATACTCACCACAGATAGCAAAATATACTGTTTCTCTTTTTTTCACTAAATGAGAAAATCTCAAATCGATCTTCTGAAGATTTCGGCAATAGCACCCATTTCTTTGAAGCACGTCTCTTGATCATCATCGTTAAATAAATATGAAACAAAAATCTTGAATGGGTGTCTTGCTTCATTTGATATATCAAATCAGATGTTTAAAATATATTTACGTTTACTGATTAGTGATTATGATACAATTTAGGATTTTATTTTCTTTTCCCAATGATTCCTAACACAGCACTACGCTTGAGTTTTTAAATAAAGTTATGTTTTTTATTCCTTTTTTATGTAACATGCAAGGTGTATGTAAGCAATTGTAGGATTCAATACCATATAGCTATTATAATGTTCATATGGTCAAAAATGCAGAAATTGCCATTGCATTGGAACTCTTCCTATAATACCATAACTGCAATCTTTATGTGAATTCCCACCACATTTAGATACACTCTGTATGCTATTCTGCCCCCTTTGTATCTATAGTTTTCTTCTTTTTGTCGTTGTGATAGGATATTGTCAAATCTTAAAACTTTTTGCTTTTATCAATACTTGTGCTGTAGTCATAACTTGTACTTAAACAGCCAAGCCAGTGTGGCTAAACACTACTATACAAACACTGGTTTATTTTCCTTTTTGTTTGATTCGCTACAGACCATCTGCATCTAAATATGCAAAGCATAAATTTACTCAATACTTATGATGTCTTTACTTAAGCCACAATATACAAAATTCAATCGGAATTGGTGAATTGGTTCCAAGTTCATGATAAAGTATCTACTTACCTAGTTCAACATAACCTTAATGGTATAGTAAAGTAGCCAATTATACCTATCATTATCTTATATTTAAAATTGGTTATTACCATACATATACATACCTCCTAACTAACAAGGCCAAAGTGGTTGTGCAAATTAGTCTAACGAATTGTTCAAGTGTGACCACAAGATAAATAATTATTACGAAATAATGAAAAATGTGAAACAATTTTTGGAAAATGCTATTCCCACATCTATCATATTTGATATTAGAAACACAAAAAATATACTGAAAAAAGATACAAACGTGGGAAAAATCGTGTTTGGTAGTACACAGTGATACACATCATTTTTAATTATACCTGAATCAAATCTCCGTTTTAAACACTCAAATGCGTGCGAAATCGGTAAAACAAAAGTGCTTTAAAGGTTGCTAAGTAATGTTACTTCAAATATGACTTTTTAAACTGTCATCTGGGGCTGAAATAAAAAAATCTTCCTAAGTCGCTTTTTGTAAATGCAAAAAATGTCTTTGACTGGTACCTATCCTTTGTTTGAAGCTTTCAAAACGCGTGTAAGTTAGGGTATGCTGCCAAATCGGTTCCATTTCTTAATCGCAGCCAACTGTAATGGAAGTAGAAGCCCGTGCACTAACAGACTGCCAACTGGCTTGGCAAGTCATGGACGGCTCTAAACACGTTTTTTGTGGTACACCTACTGTCATTTAAGGGAAATTACCTTTATTAACAAGTGATAAGTCATAAGCTTAAAGGGCCCCATTCACATGCGGATATGTACGGCGGACAGATCCGTGTTGAGCTACACACAGGCGGATATGGCTGTACACAGATCACGGACAAATCTTAATAGACAAGCAGGCGGCGTTCTGTCGCTATTTCAGTTCTGTAGTACTAGCCCTGGGTTGGGTTGTGTTCTTTTGAGTGCTGTGGTAATTGGTATGGATCAGAAACTTACAATAATTGCAGGTTTTATTTGAAGATATGAAAAAAAGAGACTATGGTCAAAACAGTGGTTCATGAAACGAAAAAAGTACTCTCATATGACTTTACTTCAGTTGTGCAATCTCCCCTCAGCTTCTCGGGAAAATTATACCTGAAACTTTCAAATAGGCCACCAGCCTTGGCAGAATATGCTCGGAAATGGCATAAAATAATTTCATTAGTAGTTAGGTGTGCTTGGTTGGTGGAGTAAGGCACTACAATTTTTACCAGTATTTAAATTTTTCCCCAAAAATGCGCATTGTGTTCTGGAATCCAATTTTGCTTGTAAAATTACCCAAAAGATCATTTAAATCTTTAGCACAATTTGCGCCTGCATTATATTCAAAGTAATTTAAACAAAATATTTTTTTAAATGACTGTTTAATTGGAGTAGGTTGAGTCGCATTTCCATTTTGATTTCTTAAATTTCCAAACATATTTTCAAGAATTACGTATTTGATGATTCTATGTCCGGCAAACAAATCCGTGAAACGACTACACACGTGCGTATTTGTCGGGCTCGCTGTCCGTGCTCGTCGTTCTGATCGACGGATGGCGAGCAAGATATGTACGCCGAACACGCGGATACACACATACGAATTGATACAGATCTGTCCCGCGTACATGTCCGCCGTACATATCCGCATGTGAATGGTACCTTTTAGGTACATTTAAATCCATAGCCAAGTTATTATACAATTGTTCTATTCGTAACGTCACACATGCGGCCGAGTGCTTGTTATTTAGGAGGCATTTTTTAAAATTTTGTTTGCTGAAATATTAATTTTGAACTTTGTACTTTTCTCATGTCTATCATAATCTTGATCAAATTTAGTTACGCTTACTTCTCATTGAAATTGAATATCCTTCAATGGTCTTTGTAATGACCAGAGAACAGTACATGTCATTTAGACATATTAGCCTTAACCTAATTGATACATTATAGGCTTAAATAATTTAAAACTAACTATTAAATTACTTAAATTTTTGTTTAAACGCAGGCTTCATTTCTTGTGGTTTCTACCGCTATAATAGGCTTTTTACCAGAGAACTCTATTAGACGATGGATAAACCGTGCAGCCTATATTGTCTCTTTTCGAATAATGGTTCGTGCCTTATCGGGCATCATTACTTTTCATAATAGGCAGTACAAGCCTGCTAACGCGGGAGTATGTGTAGCAAATCATACTTCTCCGATTGATATTATAATTCTTTCTACCGATAACAATTTTTCTTTGGTGAGTTTTTACAGGGTATAATAACGCTTGGAAATTATGTTAAGTGCTCGAGATGCTTACTTGATCTTGTCTCGTATTTGGTTTAGAAAAATAAAAATGTGATTAGTTACGTTTTTATTCTTTTACAAATATTTGCCTGTACGTCCTGTACGAGTCTGCTAGCTTATAAGTTATTACAGGTTATGTGGTTGACTCTCTGCACCGGTTTAGTTGGATACATTCCAAATACGGCGTTCAAGCAGTGGTTAAATCGATATGTCTCCATTATGTGCTTTGGTGTACTATCGGGTGCATTATCGTCTGTTATTACATATCACAATGCTGAGAACAGACCCAAAAATGGAATTTGTGTAGCAAATCACACATCGCCAATTGATGTGTTGGTACTAATGTGTGATAATTGCTACTCGCTGGTATGTTTGTTGTCCTATTTGCTTTCATATTTAGTTCAATTTTTTTTTAATAAGACATTTACATAGCATTTTATATGGAAAGTTGTAGATTGTATAGTATTATAAATACTTTTTTTCTAGTACGTTATATTGATCTGGTTTTCCTGCAATATATGTTATTTGCTAACAATTTTCATGCACTAATCTGAGATTTGCAATGATCACAAATGTGCGACACAGACAAACACTTTGCAACTTTTTATACAATCGTTTCCCAAACATGTATCACAAAGGAGAATCATGCAATACTGTTTATGTAAAATAGGGATTGTTATAAACGGTATTGGAAAAGCATCATCTGGTGTATTGGCGTAGTTATAAACAATCTCATTCATTTAATTCTGTGTTCATGTAAAATTCATTGGGTCATATGTGTATGTGAATAACTTACTCTCCCTGAAGAGTGTAGGTACCAATTTGCAGAAATTATTTGTCACTTTCTTCCGCTGAGAATGTCATTGTTGCTGTTTAAAAAAAATGTTTATTTTACACAATTATCGGGGCCGGGGCAGTTTAAACATGACAAGCGCAAGTCTGTCAATTTTATTGCAGTTTTCCAGTAATCGCTGCTCTGTTGACTCAATCCATTGTAGACTACAATCAAAAAACATCTCTCATTATCATTTTTGTGTTCTAGTTTTTGGGTATTTATAGCACAGTGGTTGAGGTTGTTGAAACAGTCCTTTTCTACAAAACAGTGCCCATTCAAATTTATCCAGTAATAAATTTTACTAGTTTAGTACCACTTACCAGGTGTAATGGATTTATCACTTTCTTATTGTAAATATCGTATTGTGTGGCACAATTGAGTTGAAGCTCGACTGCGGTAAATCTATAGTGGTTTGGGTTGGTAGAGCAGCCTTGGCTGAAACCCCGCCCAAAATAAAGACACAAAATAAATAAATAATTCAAATAGATATTCAAGCTTTTATGTATTGATAGTAAAATACTGATACGATTTTATTTCAGTGAAGAAGACTTACTTATGTTATATAGTTTGTTGTATTTACCTGAGCCCTACAGTCAAGTGTACCATCCAAAAGAGTCACTCGGATTTGAAAACTAAGCCATAGTCGAGTAAGAAATTAAGAGTCCTTTCCAATGATTTGTCACTTACAGTTTATTCAACGTTCAATTTAAAATTATTGAGGAGGTGGCAACCCTGCTTAGGGGCTTGACACCAAGGATGTAAATTTGTAAGTAAAAGATGTCCCCCTTCCAACTAAATTCGACTTGTTTTTGTGTTTTTCCCAAAAACCATTTCCCTTTACGAGTTATTAGTTTGTTTCGTGGCGTGTGGTGCCACCCTGTATATAATCAAAAAAGTGGGAGGTAAATTTTACAGGTCTCCGGATTTTCCCTGCGGTCACCGAGTTAAGAAATAATGAATTTATTCCTTTCATTTGCAGCATACTGTATATATATACAATCTCTTTCATATGTAAGAAATAAATATTAATTTGGATCATCCGTGCTTTTCAATTATCTGTGCTTCGTCCAGTCACGTAGAGCACGGATAATCAGGGTTCTACTGTACTACATTTCTCCTTGCATACCTTTAACAAACAAAAGTTAAATCTATGGTCTTGTTCAGTCATATGATGGGTTAAATGTGCCTAAAATGCTATGTTAATGTCAACTATTAGTACGATAAATTGGTGCTGGGCAGTATGTGGTATGCTTCATATTTGCAAATGTCAAATTTAAAAAAATAATAAAAATGCATTCAGCCGTATTTAAGTGAATGCCTTAAAAATTAGTTCAAAGTAATGTAAATGTTAGCTTGCTGAAATGGTGGTCACAAGCAATGATCGCAGACGTGTGAGATAGATTCTACTGCTATACCAAGCGGTGCTCAAGCAAACAGTAAATGTATGTGCCAGCATAGCACATTAAATGGGGAAGGTTGTTAGTGGATTTTGCATAGAGTCTATCACGATTACTTCCAGAACTTTAACATTTAAATTGCTAACAGTTTTATGCTTAACCTCTTATCTTTCAATTAACATTCTTCTGTACTGCTTCATTGCTAACACCATTGTAATCATATTTCAAGTAGACTAACTTTGGTTCATTTCCGGCAGTGAGTTGACGATTGTAAGTTTGAAAAATCGATAATCATCTCATAAAATAACGAAATAATGGACGATTCAGTCATCATTAATCATATACTCGTACAATTTATTTATTTGATAAAGTAATATTTCATGATTAACAATTTTATAATAGATAATTTAAAACATTGATTAGAGTATTAGACTAGTCTAGTCCATCATCATGTAAATATATTGGAAATGATTTGTGCAACTGTATTTCAACTTAATTATTAGAGGTTCTCACTTATTTTAGTCGAACTTATTATGGCTACTAAGTACATCAAAAATAGTCAAAATAAGTTCTTTTAATATGATATGAAAGGGATAGCATTAATATGCATCTTGCTAATCTCAGTTAAAATAATCATGGGCTTTCATCATACAATAAATGAATTGACTCAACGTCGACACTGTAGCACTGCATTGTTGTTCTACTTGTAATATACATACAAGGCTAGTTAGTACTTAAGATTTTTGGCGTCTAAATATTTTGCATGTGGCTTTATTCACATCTACAATTTTTATGGCATTCACTTATCTTTAGTTCGCTTTTACATTAACTTCTTTAACATGATTAATTCCCTTCCATGAATTGTAGACCGATGAGAAATGATTTTTTTAGATTGGACAAAGTCACGGAGGCTTTTTAGGAATTTTACAAAGAGCATTAGCAAGAGCGTCACCGCATATTTGGTTTGAACGTTCAGAGGTTCGAGATAGACATGCTGTAACGACCAAGTAATACCAATGATTAATTTTTTCATATAACTCATTTATATTTGTAGACTGAAGGAGCATGTATCTAATCCTGAAAATCCCCCAATACTTATATTTCCAGAAGGTACTTGTATAAATAACACATCGGTCATGCAGTTTAAGAAAGGCAGCTTCGAAATTGGAAGTGTGATTTACCCAGTGGCGATTAAATATGATCCGAAATTTGGGGATGCTTTCTGGAACAGCAGTCGTTTTTCCATGATGCAATACTTGTATATGATGATGACAAGTTGGGCAATAGTTTGTGATGTTTGGTATTTACCACCTATGTATATAAATGAAAATGAAAGTGCAATTGATTTTGCAAACAGGGTAAAAGGCGTTATTGCTAAGCAAGGGGGGCTCGTTGATTTAGTGTGGTAAGTACACTTCTATACATCAACTATATAGCTTTTAATAATGCCATTTACACCATAAATTGAAATTTATTACCATTTGGATCATCTCAAATAAATCCTAAATAGCACCACTGATCAAAATCTAATGAAACTAGTGTTACATTTACATACAACAAATGGCATTATTGATTCATATGTCTTATAGTATTTTTTATACTTGCATTATACGTTTTCAATGACCGAAATTATATCAACATTTTTTTAGGGACGGCCAATTAAAGAGGACCAAACCTAAAAAAGAGTGGCGAGAACGGCAGCAAGAAGAATTTAGCAAAAGATTGAAATTAGAGTAATTAATATTGCTTAGCGAAATAAGTTTTAATTTATTCTCTTACAATATGTTTGTACTTGCTACTATCGCACTATTCTATTCCTAGCCGCATTTAGATCTTTATTGTAAAAATATTCTACAACTTAATGAGCTGCCAGATAAATCTGATTGTAACTTAATTTTCGATACTTTGTTATATGACTGCAAAAGGAAGACTGAATATCTATTTCTAATTTTTTAAAAGAGTAGATTTATATGAAGTACCTCTCTCGTAAGCAACATATTGTATTAGATTTTCCTGGTGGTGTGTTGAGGGTGAAATATTTCACAAACTTTAACGCATATGTGATCAATTTCATTTCGAAGCAGTGTTAATTTGGTTACTAAAGAATGCCTAGTCAGATTTGAGCGTAATGAGTATTAGAATGAAGATTTGTATATAAGAGAGATAGTGGCGTGGTTAGGTGTATCTATCGAGTGTATTTATTTTAACGTAAACTCCTAGTCCTAAGTATAGTTACTTTGATTATGCCGTACAATTTCATATAAGAAAAGCTTTTATTTGAAACGCTTTAATTTTTCTAATTTATTTATAACTACCAAATGCTCAGATTCTTAATGTATAGGAATGCACATGTAAATATCTAAAAGGATCAACTTTTGGGCCTAATTATGAAATTAGTTCGTAGATATTTTAGTTAGCAACTTTTATATCAATTAATTACGAAATGGTTTTATTCAAATGTAAGTAATATCACAAAAAAGAGAATTATTTTGTATATAAGAAATTGAAGTATGTTTCTAGATTATTTTTTTTGAGTAGTCTATTGGAATTAAAGATGAAGGTCATGTTGTATTGGTTTTCTTTATTTTAGTTGATGTAGGCATGATTTCCTTGAAGCAAAAAGAGGTTATAATTTTTCGTACCTATTGTTGATTCTATTACTATGGCTACGACCTACGCCAATCTTGAGAAATATTTTTCTCTGATGATAAAATATTAATACAAGACGAATTTGGATAAAATATGCTTCAGTGTTATAAAAAATCTTAAAGATACTTAACACTGTGTTTTATAGTTTAAAGAACTGACCTCGCTCAGATTTAAATATACATCGTCCTTTAAAGTATGCCTACCTATAAAACCTGGTGGACTGTTACCTCGACAGCTGTTACTATAACATTAACTTGTGCATTATTAAGAATTTAAGATAGTAGATATTACTTTAGATAGAAATAAAAGAGGTCCTATTACATGATGAATTGATGACAAAGTACACATTTCAAGGACGGTGAAGAAGGTGGTTGATCGCGTTAGATCTGTACTTTAGAATTTAAAGGAACATTTTTTTATCAAGTCCCAAGATCGGCGTTAAAATTAGATCTGTACTTGGTGACAAAATCACACCGGTCACATTTTAAATTCTTGGCAGGATCCATGTCTTGACGAATGTTAACCCTCCAGTAGTCGCGCCGCGGTCTGTGAGACAAGGCAATTGAAAATTTGCGGATTATTCTCGGTGGAGGTGACGCAGGTCACCAAAATGCTCAATAGCTTCATATTTTAGGGTCCAAAGTATATAGCTTACAAGTTCGGCTTAAAAAGGTGTGCGGAACTGATACAGACCAGAGCAAAAAAATGGGAATCCTGGTAGATGGGCATATTTAGGGTTGCCATCCGTCAGGATTTCCCCGGATTTGTCCTAGTTTAGGGGGCGTCCGGGGAGCGTCCGGGCGGGTTTTCAATGGTAGTCCGGGTTTTGAGGTACTGAGTGGGTGAATTAATAATCTTTCTGTCAAAATTTAAGCCAACAAGATAAACTTTCAAATGCAAATCAGCATTGGGAACAATTTTTTAAAACACCGAATGCTCATTTCATTTATAGGTACTCGGAGTTAATGGAAATGGCGTACTAGGTACTTTTTTTGCATTCCTGCTCATAATGACAACGCTAAAAGAATATTTTCACTAGCGGCACAAGGACAAAATAAAGGAATTTATTGAATATTGAAACAGTCTCGTTAGTGATAAAAATAAAGAACAATTTCAAACATTATAATTGTGTAGATTTTTATAAATTTCTTTTAAGTAAGGAAGGCTATTGGAAAGACGGATAAATACCGAAGACCTGAAAAGTAAATAGTTCCCTAAACATTTTATTTTACTAAAAGACCAAATTTTTGTTTCATTTAAAAATGATTGTTATTATCTTCTAATAACTTGTATTTTATTTTGTTAAAAAAGTATATTATTGCTTCATTGAAAGAATTTAAAAATGCAGATAAGCCGTTGCTGATTCCTAACAGTTAAAGAAGATTTTGTTTCGTGATAGAGTACGCCTTGTTTTATTTAGAAAAATTAATTGTTTGTTTTATTTCTTTAGAAAATATTTTTTATCAAATTCAGTTGATATGTCCGGGTTTATAATCCCTAAATCTGGGGTTTTCACGCTTCCTGTCCTAGTTGGTCGAGTTTTGAAATGGCAACCCTAGGCATATTCACACTATAAAAAGAACAAAAAAACCTTGATTTGTATTATGATCAGATCACAAAGGACAATCCATTTCTTTGTACTTGACTAAATTGTACACAGTTGTCGACAGTTCAAACAACGTCACAAATGTCAACATTTCAGATTAGGTACATTCGTATTCGTACCAAAATTGGTTTTTGCACATCTTTTAGTTTTGGAACAATCTCTACACGGTTTGAAGCACCAGGATTTTGGATCAAACAAAATCTCGATGATGTCGGCCTGTGTGTCTGTACTCTTTTATTTTCAGCTGAACAGTGGAACCTAATTGGAACCAAATTTGGTATACGTATTCTTAGACATGAAAGAGTTAAAAACTTTTGGGCAGAACACGGATGCCCAGGTGTGCTGGTGGTATCTGTGCTTTTCCAAATCAGTAATCCTTTTATAAGGTATGATTAACAAAATTGCATTCAAGGAAGGTCGTGGAAATTGGTGGTCATGTCTAATATTAATTATTAAGTTGGCGGCTCGTGCTCAAAGGTGGCACTTGATGGGTAAGACCAATCTCCCTCTTTCAGGGCTAACTTCTATCCAAAATATCTTGGCTTTTTCACTTTTATCAATTGTTAAAGAAAGGGTAGTAATTAGCAATCAGAGGGTGTTTCGTGTTTAGCACCATTTATCGCCTCAATAACTTGATGTTGCAATGTTGAGTGTGCAGTTAACTTATTTGTAATTAATAATTAAACTGAATCATATGTCGAGAGCAGCCAAACGAAAAATGATGACTTAGCACAGGAAATACAACAAGGCGAGACAATTCCTATTGTTTAAATACTTTACTGCTCGCTTTACTCATCTTACATATGATACACCACCTCCCCTTCCCCAACCCACATGTTATAAGGTGTGATAGAACTCGCTCAAGTTACAGAATTCACTTTTTTCAAAGTACCTTCCAACTAGATACCACAAGTACTAAATTTTGCAGATTACACATAGGTGAACATTTATTATATACTACATTACTAATAGGTACCTACATTATTTACAACAATGTGTTGTTACTCAGACTGTTGCTTTGGTGCATGATCATTTTTTTTCTTTTCAAATAATTCTAAAAGTTGCTCTGTAGCAGTTTTTGGCTGGTTTAACACTTTTGATAAATCTGCATTGGGAAACTTCACTAAATTAAGCATGGGATCTCTGAAGGTGTAAGGCGTCCAAGGACCTTGAATAGAAGGATGTTCTGTGTGCCATAACTTTCGAAGCCTTGTGCCATCGTGATTTCCAGATTGACTGAGCAACAAATTGAGCCACTTTGATATTTCCTCGCGCGAGAAATTCCTGCAGTAGATAGATTGTTGGTCTCCATTTACTAAAAAGAATAAACTAGTACTTTCACTTTAATAGAATTGCACAGTACAATATTCCCCAACGATTACAGGACCTCTGTGTCGTCTGGGTTTTAAATAAACGACTGTACCGGGATTTTCCTTCGAATAATTGATTAAATCGTGTTCTATGAATTCTCTGAAAAGGAACATGGCATTATAACAATAGTCCAGGGAGTATACTTGTCCCATACCGGAGGCCTCTACTGCTTCCATGGTTTTTACAGAATTTAAGTACAACACGCTGCAATTGACAAACATATCTCCCTACCCCGTTTTGCGAAGGGGTTGTAATAAATTTTGGAGTAAGAAATAACTTATTGGACATTATGCATTATTTATTTCACTTGAACAGGTTAAGCATAGAATAGAACACTTACACAGGTTAGGTTAAGTTAAACTAAAAATCATAGATCACTATCACAATCAACTTAATGGACGCCAAGGTCCCTAATAATTACTAGAGGATTTTAGTACCATTGCTTAAATGTACAAGGGGTCATTTTAGAAAACACTCGTGCACGGTACAGCTTAGAGCTCCTCTTTCACTCAAATGGAAAGCCCATTGCTTAAATGTACGGGGTCCGTTCAAAAACACTTATACAATAATACCGCAGAGTAACTACAAGCACAGACAAAAGAGTATTTTAATCTGTGCTACAAGTAAATATATTTTATATTCAAAGCTACAAGTTAATCTGTAATAATACCCATAAGGTATACTCCATTATACGACGTATACTCTCAAGGATTTGTTAGACATATAGCATATACTCCCATTCAAGGCGTCACTGGACATAATAATTATACATCAAGCGAATTGAAGGTCTTTAAATTTGTCAGGGGATGACCCCCCCCCCCCCTCAACTGAGTACAATCAAAGAAATTGTAAGTAGGAACCATAGGAACATAGGGATATAAAATGGGAAATTAGTTATTTATGCAATATCATGCCCTCCTGTACATTTTACAGAAAAAACTGTAGAGTTTAAAGTTGTTCAGAATTAAAAAGTGCATACAACACTGTTTTTACATGTTTTATTAAGCTTTTGGTATACCCGCAAATTTAAAAATAAATTTCAACATTTCTGTTATTAGTAGCAATAGCCATGACTTTTGTTGTTTTATGAACTGCTACTAATAACAGAAATGTTGAAATTTATTTTTAAATTTGCGGGGATACCAAAAGCTTAATAAAACATGTAAAAACAGTGTCGTATGCACATTTTAATTCTGAAAAACTAAACTTTTCTGTAAAATGTACAGGAGGGCATTATATTGCATAAAACTAATTTCCCATGTTAAATCCTTATGTTCCTATTTACAGTGGAGCGTGCACCACCCGGTATACGTTCAGCATGGAATTGGATAGTGCGATTATGTCGGGAAGGAATGCAGATTTAAAAACTCTTTGTTAAAAATTCTAGGGCCATATATTTTGTGATAGTTTTTAAATTAAATGCGTCACCGAATTACATAAATTTTTTACAGGGCGGTCAACATTCCCATCCTAATTTCGATGGTTTCATTAAAAAACCTTAACTAAACATGAAAGGACATTTTATTGGCTCTCATTCAATCTTGACAAAACAAAAATAATCTGTAGTACTAATAAGTAACACAAGTTCCCAGATGGCAGAAGTTAAATGTGGGGTCTCTACTACAGCCCACCCTGTTTTTTTAATGGATCAAGTGTGAATTATTTTTTGCTAAAAGCACAGAATCGAAGACTGCTACTATAAAGTTAGGGTTAGCTGGACAGTTTATGTGCGTACATACTGTATGTCCTATAGACGTTCATTCAAAGTACCTACATTCCATGTATGGTACCTACATACCAGTCGTCTTATTGCACTATATTAACAAATAAAACACCTACTTTCAAAACGATCTCTGTGTTAAAACATCCGGGATATAAAATAATGTAACAAAAAATTCCTTCCTTTACTTTGCCCTTTTGATCCATTTAGAAATTGCTTTTTCCAAACTGTTTTTGAAAATGTTGCACTTGGTCTCTTTTATGAAGCGCCCATCTTGGCGCATATGTAAGATGATTCCAGTATCATTGGCCCGTATGAATAAAAATAAGCAAATGCTTATACTTGAAAAATTCAAAGTAAATACTACACCTTTTCCACTTTTATTCGAGAAGTTGTAAATTGTATTTGAGAATTGTTACTTGTATTTGAGAAAACGTCAAAGTAGATGAGAATAGTCAGTTGGATTTGAGAAAACATCAAATGTATTTGAGAATAGTCAATTGTATTTGAGAAAGTATCATTTAATTTTATTGTGTTTCAGAATGTAATATTGTTCCTAATGAATTATAATTAAGAATCAAATTTTTAGTTCCGCTACTGTATGTAGTCCCGCAACAGCAGCGGCAGCATCAGGCTATGTTATACATATGATTTTGTTTTTCTCATTTTCAATTGATTCTCAAATACTTAATTTTACCATTTCTTGAATACAATTTACTACTCTCAAATTCATTTGATGCCTTCTCAAATACAAATCACTATTCTGAACTAGATTTGTTGTTTTCTCAAATACATTTGACTATTCTCAAATACAATTGATACTTTCTCAAATTAACTTGATACTTTCTCGAATAAAAGTGGAAAAGGTGTAGTAACTGCCCCTTCATACTGGTCTGTTTAGCATGGTTTAGCAGCGCTGTACTGCGTCCTTTCCTTCTGCTTAGAAGCGCTGCTAAGTCGCCCAGTGCGAAGGAGCACTTACGAGTATTTACTTTGAATTTTGCAAGTATAAGCATTTGCTTATTTTTATTTATACGGGCCATTGTGTCATAGTCCATAAAATAGCTTCATTTCTGATGAGCCTTAGGTATCCAGTGTACAATCGGCTCATCCTAATTCGTTGTCCGGTAGTTCCTCCACTACTTCTACAAGCCTTACCTAATGTAATCTGTTCCCCCGTAAACACTTCTATCTCAATGAATAAAACAAAAATATTCGCTCAATTATTTAATGTGTACGATTGGACCTTACTAAAAAACATACATGTGAATGACTCAGGAACTCTGAAACTAGGATATTAATCCGACAACAGTCCCTTAACAAAAAGATTTCTCTCCTCTATATCATTTTTGATTGAACATAACTGTGATAAAAGTTCTTCATCAGATAGGTCCAAATTTAAGTTTTTACAGTTTGCCAAGGCCTCCTTCACGATATTATTACCTTCCTAAAAAAGAACATACTTCAATATTTCCGCAGCAAGTGAAAATAATATCACCTGTACAATTTTACATTTTAAACTGGGTTCAAAATCCTTAATAAATTTCATTTCATTACCTTCCAGCTGTTCAAGATGTTCTGCTGCATTCTAAAACAAAGATATTCCTTGTACCTTCTCAGACAATAACTTCTCAACTACAAAAAAGGTAAAAAGTACTAAAATTCCACTTACTTCAAGAACATCTTTGGGGAACTCTGCCAAACGAGCGCAATGAATTCCATAACTTCTATCACAAGCGCCTTCCCTGACCTGGTACAATGGTGTAATTGTTTTTTCTGTTGTAACTGCTGTCACATGTATATTATGTACTGTTGGATACTTTTCAGATAACTGTGTGATTTCATGGAAATGAGTTGCAAACAATGTGAAGCACATTGTTTTCGTAGCCAAATATCTAAAGAGAACGGGGATAAAGAATCAAACCTTCATAAAATACATACTCTGCAATAGCCCATGCTATACCGCAACCGTCGTAGGTAGATGTGCCCCGCCCTAATTCATCAATTATAACCAATGAATTCGATGTGGCGGTCTGAAAATGTTAATATATTTACACATTTCAATATCAAATTACCCCATTAACCTTTATAATGCTAGAAGTCTCCACCATTTCTAGCATGAAAGTTGACAGGCCTTTTATTTCGGAATCATTAGCACCTACCCTTGCCAATATGCAATCGACAACAGAAATTTCGGCTTCTACACAAGGGACTAAGCTACCTATGTGAGCTAATAAAACTGCAATCCCAACGCTTCTAATATACGTGCTCTTCCCGCCCATATTAGGTCCAGTCATTATATAAAATACAGCTTCATTCGCTTTAAAATTTACATCGTTTGGAATAAATGTTAATCCATCCTGTAGCTCTAAACAAGGGTGTCTAACTTTTGTCAGCGATAGTACACCAGAGCCTTCCTTGTGCATTTTCGGTCTAACAAACTGTATGGGTGAATCGGCAGCGACAGTTGCAAAGGAGACGAGAACGTCTACTTTGGCTACGTGGAGATTCAAATTTCGTACGGTATTTCCATAACCGGCTAAAGGCAGTTTAAGAATGAATGCAACGGTTAGTAATCAACGCACCTGCTACTTCCAAAATTTCTTTGACAACTGATTTTTGTTCTTTTTCATAATTTGTATTCAGCTCCATGTAATCACTGTTTAGCTGCTTCAAGGCGTTGTTTGAAAATCGAACACCTCCCTTGATCGCATCAATGATGATGAAATTTTTATTTTTCCTTAATGCTTGTTCTTCCTTTAAGGTGACTCTGAAAAAGTATCCGTGCTGCTCTGTACATTCTAATTTTATCGATTTTCCGGCTTCAAATCCTAATTCGCTTGCGGCAGAGCGTAAAACTTTTTGCATTTTTTCTTCAATTTTCGTTTTTTTGTTTGTTAATTCTGCAAAATAAGGTATGATCTGATATCACTGAAATATATGGAAGGGGATAAGCCTAGTAAATGAAATAATTTGGGAGTAGATAAACTTATGTTCATTAAGAAAATATTCAGTTGTTTAGGTAATCTCGTTGTGAAAACAACATAGCCAAAAATGTAAAAATTGAAAATAATACCTTGCAGTTGATCATTAAATGATGCTACTACAAAATATTCCCCACGATCTACCAAGTTCAAGTCTAGTGTTTCTTCAATCATACTTTGATACCGCTCCATGTCCAGCAAAACGTCACAGATAGGATCAATAAGTATGGACTTAATACAAGTATTCTCAGCCTTCCTCAAGACATTTACGATCGAAGGTACATTCCCAACAGTCTGATACACTCGATAACAATCTTGTAACGACGCCTTGCAGTTAGTTAACTTTTTGCTCCATAGTAATAAGTCTGGAGTGCGTGTTAAACAGTTACTATGTAGCATATGGCGAAGTTCGGAATTCTGAAGAAGTGTCTCGACTACTTCTAATCTTTCATTAATAACGTTTATGTCCCTTAGAGGCTGTTTAACCCATTTGGCGAGCAGTCGCCGACCTTGTGCTGTACAGCATTTATCCAGAACGCCTAGAAGACTACCATGCACAGCCGTCTTATTGTTATAAGAAGATTGTGACTTAGGAAAAAGATTGAGAGCCGAAATCGCAGCGCTGTCCAGGCGTACAAATCGATCAGCAGTGTAAATACTTATTTTAAATTGATTATAATTGCTTTCCTCAGCCGCTAAGTTTAAATATTTGATTCCCGCTTGTAAACAACTCATTGCTTCTGTTAACCCCATTTCAGGAATGCCACTAGCATTTCTCTCTTGGTCCTTAAGAAAATACAAAAGCCTATTTAAGTCTTGAACTACATCATCTGTTCCAAATTCCGTTTTTTTAAATTTCGTTACTAGAATTTGATTTCTTTGAAGCACCGCGTGTAAAGTGACCAACTCTGGTGCGTCACCACTCTGAATAATACATTCTTTAGGACTAATTTGCGCAATTAAAGCTTCCAACTCGGTGAAAAGTTCATTATCATTAAATTCAGAAACATAAAATTGTCCTTCTGTGGCATCTATACAGCTCAAAGCAACTGCCTGAAAAAAAAACTACTGTATGAAGTATGAAGGGCAGTGAGTAGATAACTTACAAAATTCTTGCCAAGTTTAATGGTCATAACAGCGCTGTTGACGATAACCTCGTTGGTTTCAAATAGCAGTTCTTCAAATTGCGTTAGATTTCCAGGTGATCCTTTGTACTCTAAAGTCCAATCATTATTCTTACTTTGGGAAGGTTTTACAAAAACTTCGACACGATACTGTTTTACCAATAGTAAATCTCGTACAAATTTTTCAAAGTTTCCTCGACTGAGCACCAGATAACTGAGTTTCGGTTGTTCCCCCATGTATTTAACAGTATGGGTGCCGAACAAGTTTTGTGCGGCATATGAGGCGTCATCTCCGTGAACGGTATAAAATTCGGAACGATTAAAAAATCGAATTGTTGTAGCTGGTTTCTGTAACAATAGAATCACTTTTATTTGTTACTCAAATGTAAACGATATCTACGATATACATATTTACAGAATTAATTCAATAAGTTCTGAGGGATTTGTACATCGAATGCACAAAAATAAATCAATTTTAGAGAGAGTCGTGGAAATAATAATAAGTATTGCCTTATAAATATAATTGAATTTCACAAAAACAATAATGGAAGGCAAAGTTGAGAGTAGACAATACCATCTGTCCATCCACTTAAGGGTGTAATCCAGTAGTACAACATTTATGCGAAAATAGTGCGATTTATATTTCGTCTCAATTCTGTAAAACTTGAGATGAAAAACGGGGTTAATTTTTTTCGTATAAATTATACATTTAAAAAGTATGCTACAGAACAAAATTTTAATATTTAAGAAAAAACAATTTTTTAGAGCACTGCCAATAAAAAGTGAACTTTTATAGGTAAATTGGCGTCAACACAAATTATTTTAAAAATCTCCCTGTAGCATACTCAGAAAAAACATTAGCAAACCATAGAGCCATCGACCACCCTTTCACATAAACTACAAAAATTTTTAGACGAAATATTCATTCAAAATTTTTTACATAAACTTGTAGCATTTAGTGAAGTCATTCACCATTTATAAATGTACAGTAGGCAACACATCATACGGCAAGCCTGACTTCATTAGCGGCATTGTTGCGTTTATCGGGACTAATTTACAAAAAGAAACCGGATTCATTAGAACGTATTATAGTTCCATAATATACTGGGTAATATAATTCTCACGTAAATGTAATTTATTTTTGGGCGAATTAAAAGTTTGCGTCATTTCAGACGTTTTTTGTAACACCCCTAAAATTTTAGTGTGAAAAAATTTTGAGATAATTCCCATGTAGCATCCTTCGGAAAGAGATATAATTTGCGTAAAAAGCTTTAGTTCTCATTTATTTTGTGTTGTTCCCGAATTAGACGAAATTTTGTAACACCCCTAAAATTTCAGTGTGATGTAAAATTTGAGATTATTTCCCTGTAGCATCCTTCGGAAAGAGTCATAGTTTGCGTAAAAAGTGTTAGGTCTCATTTATTTTGTGTTGTTCTCGAATTAGACGAAATTTTGAAACACCCCTAAAATTTCAGTGTGATACAAGAGATGTACATTTTTTTAAAGATATCTAATTTATAGGTACTTATTCGCTTACATGCGTTATTTTCCAGATAGGGTCGATACAATTCATGGAGAAAAAAATACAGGGTGTATCATTAATATTGCGAAAAAATTCAGGGTGAGATTCCTTGCATAAAAATAAGAATAAAAGTTCATATAAACATGTTTCCTAAAACGCCTCGTTTCCGAGATACAGGGTGTTGAATATTATGCAATTGAAAATAAAACTTTTTTGTTTCCTTGTCGGATCACTCTATCGAGAGTGCCATTGACTTTTTATATGAAGTTTTTGTATGAAAGATTTGACAGTTGTTAGGTTTCTTTTCAAAATGAATTACGCAAATAGTGAAATGTGCGATATGCATTTTTGTTACATGTTTATATGAACTTTTATTCTTATTTTTATGCAAGGAATCTCACCCTGAATTTTTTCGCAATATTAATGATACACCCTGTATATACGTCTTATTAAAAACTGGGAAAAGTGAAATTATTGAGGATTAGCCGTTGTGGCAATGATTTGCGTTTTCTAATCGATGTTTAATTATGTATGCATATTCGTCACAATTACTAATGACCTGGGTAAATTAGCGTAATTACCTACTTGTTCACTTTATACAATGGTTGGGCAGGTAAATTCTGCAATTTTTGTTTATTCGTTACCATTTCATTACAAGTAAGTATTATGCAACCCATCATACGTCAAATAGAATTAAAATTTAAGTGGAATACACCCTTAACTTTGGTTTATAATTCCCAAATAAGGTAATTGTTTTTATTAGGTATTGACTTTTATAATTAATATACTCTATTTGTAGCCTGATGTTTTTTCCCAAACTAGTAGCGTTGTACGCTTTTTAAAATGTTGTTACTCACCGATAATTTGAATTTTAAAACAATTAAAGTTTTATGGGGAATGGTTTGTGTTTTGGATCTCCTATTTTATTGAGCCCGCAGTTTTTCCTGTTCCCGATTATCATTCAAAGTGGTATAACTTTTTGTTCCTGTTGAACCAGTTATGCGCTAAAATGCGCCGTAAAAATATATCTTTGCGCTATTCTGGTTTTTTATCCTTAAGTGAACATAGCCCGCCATAACGCATTTTGCTATCGGTATCTGTGCCACTCGATACTTGAATTAAACCATTGAATTTATAACTATTATTATAAATTCAATGATTAAACCTTGCGCCGTCACGGTTAAGCCATCAAAAATTTTAAAAAGTGGAGGGCGGGGCTAACGTAACGTTTTGACCGCTCTGTGTACTGTGTTGTACAATACATTGGCAATACGCGGCCGGGTGTTCGAACCTGGGCTGAGGTAAAAATTTTTCATCTGTACTCTAATGGAAGGTCTCAATGAAAGGAACTAATTTCTACCAACCATAGTCCTCCTTCGATCACGATAACTAATCGATTATAATTCCTTATACAGGGTGGTGACTTGGCTAGCGCATCATAGGGATTTCAATGTAAAATTCATAACATGCAATTATTGGCTCCCCAAATTATTTTAGAGCAAAAATGTATTAAGGTTTTTTGTAGAAAACAATTTTTTACGTCAATCAACCGTATTAGTTTTCAATTTTTTGCATAATAAAGACGGAAAATTGGAAAAATAAAACCCCTACCTTTTTCAATAATCTGTGATGCCATGGAAATTTATAATACAAAAACTACGCCAATATCCGTCATGCCATGGAATGTTTGCTATAAAACAAATCAAATTCTATCAAAAAGTATTATATTTAAAACAGCGAATTCAACATAAAGAAAGGCCAAATTACTAAAAACGGTTTTCTAATATAACAATTTACAATAAACGTTCGAATAAGTCAACATTAACTGCAAGACAGTAACCAAGTCGATCATAAACTCCATTTCGAACTGCTACTATAATTGATAACTGGATATCTTTTTGTTTTAGAAAATTCCATGGCATCGCAGATTATTGAAAAAGAAGCGGGTTTTATTTTCCCCATTTTCCGTCTTTATATGATAAAAATTGAAAACTAATACGGCGGTTTGGAGTAAAAAAATTTTTTCTACAAAAAACTTTAATACATTTTTGCTCTAAAATAATTTGGGGAGCCAATAATCGCATGTTATGAATTATACATTAAAATCCCTATGATGCGTTACGCAAGTCACCACCCTGTATATCTTAAGAGCGTATTGTCGGATGAGGGTAGTGACAATGAGACATTGGGAGCCATTGGTGATGTCAAAACTTTAAAAATGAATATCTCGAGGCGAGAATACTCACTAAGGCAAAATGAGTCGTCTGGACGTGAAGTCGAAGCAAATATCTTGTAAACTCTTGTAAAGAGCAAGTGGAACGCTGGGCTAATCACATCTACTGGCGATGTCAAAACTTTCAGTGCAAATATCTGCACAAAATAGTGTCGAAGGGGGGTACCCTCAAAGATCGTCTAGACGAAACGCATCTGCTGCCGATGTAAAATAGTATATTGAAAGACAAGTGTTACAATGCGACCTATTGTAATACGACTATCTTGTGGCACGAGTGGCGACGCGAAGCGTAGCCACGAGTGTCCGCAAGATAGGAGTATTACAATAAAGCATTGTAACACGCGTTTTTCATACTATTTTTTCTATTTCGGTGCTTTAATTTAATTAAAAAAATCATCATCAGAAACTATAGGGAACATTAGAACTAACATGTTTTATGTTGGAAACACTTTTTTCTATTTCGGTGTCACAATGATGATTTTGTACAACTGTTTTCGGCCGAAAACAGTTGTACAAAGACAGTGATTAAAGTCGTTTTTTTTTTGGTAACTCATCTCTTAAGTTGGGAGTTAATAGTTAGTACAAGTAGGTACTTCGTTGGGTACTTCCATAGTTCCATGTTTGAACTTCAAAATGTCAATCTTACTACGCTGCCAACCTAAAACTTAACGGCATAAAAATTGTGAATATGTGTTGGAGGAAGCTACCTACAAAGGGAAAATGTAATGATTTGCGAGCAATTTATAATTGTTTTGTTTTTCATGCTTTTTCTAAGAAAATAAAGAGTTAATTTGAATCTTTAAAGAGGAAGAGTTTGAAACTCGGTCAAATTTAAAAACATTTACAACGGTCATTTGGGATGCGTGAGTTTTAGTTTAAATAGCTGTCGGTGTTCCGTCGCACACTGGATCACGATATATTAGGGTCCGTAGTGAGTATTATCGTGATCGCTTCACTTCCGGTTTTACCGGATGTGGATAGCAACTTTCTTATTCTGAATGGAACACCCTGTATTTTATTACATTCATCAAACAACCGAAAATCTAACAACGCAGTTCACCATGATTTATTACAGAAGCCATAAAATTGCGTCACGCGACAACGAAAACAAACATATCGTAATAATTTCTTTACTGATAATGGAAACAGTTGCAAAAACAGTACAAAATATCAATTAACTTAGACATTTTCTAAGAAGTGGCGAATGAGAGATAAGTTTTTTTTACAGTCACTTAACTTATACCCACGTGAAAACTTCCAATATTTCATATGTAGACTATTTGAACACATATTGTCTATTGACGAACGGCCAAATCTTAAGTTGAAATCACTCTCGCACTCGTTACTATAAGAATAAGAATGAACAAATAACTCTTTTGCTTAACAATTCTTCAACAATAGTAGACATTTGGGTAAAACTTACAAATAATTAAAAATGTGCATTGTGCGTGAAAATCAGTTTACAAGGTTATTTTGTTTGGGAAAACGTCAAAACTCACTTTTTCGAAAGGGTTACATAATATAATTGTCTCTTACGCTATGGTAAGCTTTATTTGCCGAAGAATCTAGTATAGTAACGATAACGACACTAAATAGTAGTATCGGCGTCACCTTCTATATGATGCTTACACTATCGGTAGCAATTCTGATTTAAGAAGACTATGAATATTGGAAAGGTTACATTTTTACTACCCTTTCCTTTGCATAATCAATTAACCCCTTCATAAAGGAGGTTATCTGATTTGTTTACAAACATGCACGTGTATATAAAAACTATTCTGTTTATTATTCATTCCTCGATTTATATTTAGAAATGGTTAGATCTAACCGCAACATCT